GCTCCCCTGCAAATCACTGCTCGAGTACATAAATCTGTATTGTACCGTATGACAGACCACACCCTCGACTCGCGCCTTCGTGTGTGTGCGTTGCTTTTTCCATGTGTGCTCACTCCCGTCTCTTTTCTCCCTCCTGCCGTGCTTTGCGTTTCTCCCGAAAGGAATGTCCCTATACGAATTCTGCACTCCGCAGTCTCCGGACGACAAAAATTTCCCCATAAAAGTCCGACAGCTTCGTGTCGGTATCCGAATCTGGACACCCATCGAACCTTTTCCGTCGAAGCGGAACCAGGGAAAAAAATCCCGGGATCATCTGATGTTCCTCGGCAATCGACAGACGGACAGATAAAAATTCACAATTTGTCAAGAGAGATTCCAATCTTGCTATAACCCTTTTCCCCTCTTCCTACCAGAGAGTGAGCTCTTTTCCTTGTTCACGTTTGTGCTTTTTTCCATTTTCGCACCTTGAGGGGGGAAAAAAGGAAATATGGCCAATGGGCAGACAGACAGCATCACAACTGCCGCGCCAACGCCATCTCGCTTAACCTGTAACAAGCTAAATTGATTGTGACCCGACCCTCTCTCAAGATTGAAGCACGGTGATGTGCGCTCAAGTGAGAGGTTTGGTGGGTTAGATCCGGTCTACTTCGCTTCCGACCACGTTGCCGCACAAGCTGTGACGGGCCGTGTGATTGTAGATCGACAGAGGGGGGAAGAAGCAGCATGATACAGATTACCGGTACCGTTCTGGGACAGTGGTGGTGGTGGTGGTGAGGGGCATCTTTGTTGTCGTGGGTTGGGAAATAAAAGGGGAGTGAGAGAGGGAGAGGGAGACAGGGAGAGAAAAATGATCCATCACAAAGTGCGCGCAAGAATCGTTTACGATATTTATTCTATTTATGCGCGAGGTGCGTAATTGTAAGTACCGGTATGGAAAGAGGGGAAGGAAAAAATGGGGGAAAAAAGAAAAAAGGGATACGGTTGTGAGGGGGAAAAAAGGGAACGGGGGAGAGGAGGAGGAGTGACTATACCGGTACTCCAGCACGTATCATACTGTGGGATAGGTTCCGCGAGTAATGTGTATTATGTACGATATGATGGGGAAATCAGGTGGAAAGCGGAGTGAAGGGAGAAGAAGAAAAACTTGGAAGCGGCGGCTGCTGCCTGCTTTGATAGCGTACTCCTCCTCCTCCTCCTCCTCCTCCTCCTCCTCCTCCTCCTCCTCCTCCTCCTCCTCCTCATGCTGCTGCTGTGTTTTTTTTTCCCCCTCTTTCCTGCACGAGAGGGAGCGACGTACAAACTCATAGCTACGATATTATAATCCTCTTCTCATGGCCTCACCGCGTCCTTCAGGCTCCCCAGAGGGAGGGGGCCTAGGTGGGTGGTGTCGTCAAGGTCACTTGACCGACCTTCCAGAAGCCAGAGGGAAAATCATCAGGCAGGCAGCGTGCGAGTATCGGCAGGCTGCGAACTTGGGCTGGGTGAAGAGGTTTCCTCCAATAATGGTGGTTGGACGACGGCGCCATGCGCAGGGCGCCGGGTGCATGATAATCGGGTTAGCCACCAACAGGAAGGGTAAGCCTCGGCCTATCCCATTAATTGCGTTCCCGACCTGTGGGACAGCATCGTCACATTTTTATACCGTACTTGTATCTTCCTCCCGGCGAGGAAAGCCGCTCTTGGAAAGCGATCTGCGTAATGTTTCGCCCCCATCTCACCCTTGGAACCGTGCGTGGATGATTATCGGGGGATCCTTGCACGAGTATCTCGAGAAACAATCCCGACCCTCTGTTCAGACCGGCAATCAAGGTGGAAGCCAGGCCTGCCAACTGAGCCCTTCCTCCACCCTCTGAAACTCTGACTATTCAGGAGTAGTAAGGTTAACGCCTCCTCCCACCCCCCTCCGAGGATCCACCACACCAAGACCCCTGACCCCTATCCCCTGCTGCTCATCATCGTCAGCAATGATCATTCTCGCAGCGTCGCTCCACCAACGGGGGAGGAGGGGCCAATAGAATACCGAGGCTACGGGAGCCACGAGTCCACACACGACTTCATCGCTATCGCGGCAAATTTTTGCTTCTTTCCCACCGAGTTTTATGATATCTTTACCGGTACTCTCTCCCTTCAATAATTTACTTTTTTCCCCCTCGTCGACTCTTTCCCGATCCCTATTTTGTTACTGCATTAGGATGACGATTTTTCCTTCTTTTCTTTTTCTTTTTCTTTTTTTTTCCCTTTCCTCCTCTCCTCCTCTTCCTTGCTACGACCGGTTTGTGTGCGGCTGGCTCGATTGTACTGTACGAGTAATTCAAAAGTGCCCATTATGAGCAAGTGGGTCAAGAGATGGTGTGAACCGTAACACGGTGACACGGGGACGGATTCGACACTTTCCGTGGGTTATCGTGACTAAAATGTATTCCAATCATCCGGGGATTGGATTGGGAAAAGGGTGAAGAGGCTTGCGGAGGGTGATCCATCCGCCATCGGTATCCCGTCCTATCGGTATCCCCCCACACACGCATGCCGCGCCTGGGTCGGAGGCGTTATTGATACGGGGTGATTGAGAGGATGGTCAACCTTTTGGGTCCCTTTGGGGGCAGAAGGTCGGCCATTCTGTGACTGAACTGCGTCACACCTGTTGCAAATTAACCTTGCACGGAGACCGTGGTCCCGTTCTGTGGTTTCGAGGATGTCGTGAGTTACCCGAGCAGGTGCCCGAGTACTGGGCTGCACCGTGGAATTACCGTACTTCAAACATCATTCACCACTGAAGATCCCTCGCTCAACCAAGCCGGTTGGGTGAAGCCCGAGGAGGTTAATATGAGCGACAGACTGGTGAGGTTTCCCGTTGTTGTATGTACGAGTACTCGTGCTAGTAGTTATGATATGGCTGCCGCGCGCATTGAGCATCTGGTGTACAGCTCCCCTGTTCCTTGCCAAATCGAAAACCAATCCCGAATTTTCCACACACCCTGGCGACCTCACTGTATTTCCTTTTTCCGCATGGCAGGGCAAGCGCTCTACCGGTGCTCGAGTGCTCGTACTTGTACCCTCGCTCTCGCTTTCGCCTCCGCAGGGGATTCGCAAAGCAAAAAAGAAAAGTAGAACAGAACAGACGAGAGAGGAAAGGAAAAGGAAAGATGGAAAGAAAGATGGAAGAAAGGAAAAAAAGAACAGTTACCGACACTCTGTCGTCCCAGTCCCAACATGGGCCCGTATTGCCGAGAAGCTTTTGTTCACCTTGCTTTTCTCTCCCTTACCTTGGTTCCGCTGTGTTACCGCTGTGAAGGAATTGCAATTCTGGAGCACATTTCAAAGAATCGGTGGACCCTTCGTTTCGCCCTTCGTCTTCGGCATCACACTCTCCGTTTTATGCCATGCTCCTTCCCATGTCATAGAGTTGGAATCTACGGTAGGCATTATTGTGCCTACATAGCACATACCGGTCCGCTCCTGGCTTCTCGAGTGGCTCGCAGGGGTACCCAGGTCGGTCCCAAAGCTCACCCAACAGGCAGGCATCTCTGTTTCCAAACTTCCCTTCGTGATGGTTAGCCCCGGGCGAATCAGGGTCTCGGGTTGCACGAGCTGTAAGCTGGCGGTGAAAGAGCATGGAGGAGTGGGTACGGTAATATTGCGCAGTATCATACTCAGGTCCACTTTCACCGTTCTCCACCCTTCTGCTTCCATGGCCCATCCATCCCATCCCATCCCATCCCATCCCATCCCATATTTCTCGCACCCCATGCCTCCTCCCTTGCAGCCCATGCTCCCGGTGGATCTCAACCAGCAGCGGTTCCGGCCCATCACCGACGAATTCCCCACTTGGAACTCCACTTTTACTCCGTCGTCGTCCCTCTCGTTTCCTCCCTTGCTGCCTCGCCTCCGTGGTATTCGGTCTTCAGGCCAATATTACTTAGCTGTGGTACCGCGGTATTATAGTGCCGGTATGATATTATCCCCTTCCCCTCTCCTTCCGCCTGCCTCCTGGCACCTTCTCACACTTCCTCCTTGCCCGTCCCCCGGTACCCTTCCTTACCGGTACTCCTGCTCCCTACTCTGGCACTCTTTCTGTTACCCCATAGCGCCGTCGCCGCTCACATAAAATCATTTCCCTACAATCATATCATACTTGTGCAGCGCAGCCCTTCTTCCTCTTCCTGTTCCTCCCCCCCGTTCCCACAGCCCGGGATCCGACAGTGCACCCACCGCTAATCTTTATCGCCCGCCCCACTACCCTCTTTCCCCTCGTAGACAGATACTTGGGCATATCGAAAGCCCTCCACCCTGCCGAACTCGTTCATGTCCAAGGCCGTATGATGGCACCCTATACTCTTAGAGTACCGTAGCTCCTCCTCCACCGTACACAAGTAGCCGGTAGTAATAAAAGGGCTTTCTTCTTCTTGCTCACTTCACCCCAATTAACCTTTTGGGTGTCTTATATTTTGAATTTTGCAGCCGCCCCTCGTCACCTCCGTTGGCCAGTCCCCTCCGGTTTCCCTGCAAGAAATAATAGTAATAATACTGTCAATCAAACCCGTCTTCTTGCCCATCTTTTGCCGCTACCTTACATTGCTCTCGAGAGTCAGGGGTGTCGCTTCGATTCTTCCCTGGCAAATACCCGACGTTAACGGTTGGCCCCCTCGGTCTCGCATCACCATCCCGAACTAACAATTAAACCCGTCGCCTGGATTTCCTCACCCAGGAATTGGCGGTCCCATAAATACCCCCACGGCGCCCTTTCTGAAAGGTCACCGTTGAGTCTACATATTTTCCCGCATTTCCGAGAGGTTGGGACATTGTCTTGTCAGTGGTTCAAGAGGCGAATATTCCCCACGTGCAGACCCGTCATCCATCCATCCATCCTTCCATCTATCCCTCATCACCTCAAACCCGCTAAGAGGATCTTTCGTCTCAACACTCCCGCAGTCACACTCCCCCCCCCCCCTTCCCTCTCCCGCCTTTAAAACTACAACCACCACCACCACCACCACCACCACCTACCACCCTTCAACACCACCTGCCATCCACCACTACCCAAATTCACACCTGCCATTACCTACCACCCATCCGCGTAATGAATCTCCCCAGCCTTGTCCACCAGTCGCGGCACCACAATCACTACCCACAGTCCACTCAGGGTAATGGACTCGACTTCTCAGATCACCACCACCAGTCTCCCGCTCCATACATACACCGTCCGCATGAATATGCTCACCCACCCGCTCCTCCTCCGTCGCCACCGGTGGAGGATAACAATAGATGCTCTCTGCCTTCAATTTCAGCACTGCTTGTGTTCGCCGATGGAGGCCAACTAGGAGGAAATGGTAAGCGCTATGGTGTTGGGATTGGAAGCCAGCCGTGGTACTGATCTATCATCTTGAACCATAGGAATGGACAGGATGGAGCGGCAACAACGGTCCCCTCAATACCAGAGCCAGACACCACATAGTTCTGGGCCTGCTCTTCCTCTTACCCCTCCTATGAGACCCGACTCAGTGTTTGAGGGCAATAATTCACCCCCGCTGTCATCGACATCGCCTTCATCTTCTTACTTTTACTCTCCCACCTCTTCACAGGGAGGGAACCGAAATTCCTACCCTCCTTCCCAGTCAAAGTATCCGTCGCCTCCCGAGCCATCCTATCATCATCAGTACCCTTCTTATCCACCATCCACTCCTCAAAGCCAGCCTACCATGGCATACAGTAAGCATGCACCACCGCAACCTCCCCACCAACTATTAATTCCTGTTTCTGTTGCCCCCCCTTCAGCATCAAATCCTTGGCACCACCATCATCATTCATCACCCGCTTCACACGCTGCGTTCCCGCAATCCCAAGATCGCTACATCTGCCCGACATGCAACAAGGCGTTCTCGAGGCCCAGTAGTCTGAGAATACACAGTCACAGTCATACCGGCGAGAAACCCTTCAAATGCCCTCACCACGGATGCGGCAAGGCTTTCAGCGTACGGAGCAACATGAAGCGCCACGAAAGAGGTTGCCATCAATGAATAAATATATATATAATTTTTTTTTAAAAAAAAACCCCCCAAAAAAGAAATAACGGCTACAAAAAGTTTGTTAATACAACAAAAAAACAAACAGGTGTTGCATGAACCGGCGAATAAGAAGCTTTCTGGGTAATTTTAAATACTGGATTCTATTTTCTGGCTGTCCCTATTATCTTGTCTCTTTTTCTTTCTCCCCCGGTCTGGGTATTTACCGTATACCAAGACCCTATGCACGGGTCGTCCAGTGCGGTGATACCCAATCATGCTTAGCGTTTTGTAGATGATTCCCTCCTGTATCCTGTATCCTCTATGATTTCCTTCTGGGTCGTTTGCTGTCATTTTCTTACTAGCATTGCAAACTCTACGGCGCAATTTGGGGGCTTTGATCTTGAACCGCGCCATGCATTCATGGCGAGTGCTGATTATGTTGGGTCTGTTTTGGGTACCGGTATCAAAGATTATTGTATTATATCAAAATGCTCGTGGCTTAATCGGCAGAGCATGGGTGGAACACTTAGTTTATAGCTCTAGTATCAAAATATCGTCGAGGAATATCAAAAGGAATGTTTCCCTCGTTTCTTTGTTTGATCATTCAATTTCCACGAGAAAGTGATCATTCGATGGGAGTGATGTTTCGTCGCTTTGCTATACCTATGAAGCTATATCATGGCTCGCAAGAATAAAGCAAACAATAATGCCTTACGCGACTCCAGATCCATCACTAGCCGAACCGAAGTCGTCCTGCTTATAGGGTACTCAAGCACACCGGCATTCCCAGAGAAAGGTGTACATCGCCGACACCATCATGACAATTTCCGAAGCAGCATTCCCCCCACACAATCCCGGGCGGGCAGGCAGGACATATGCAGGACAGAGGGTGGAGCAAGCCCCGGATGACGGCCTCCCGGGAACATGGGAAGTACAAAAGAAAGAGGAAGGTACGGCGTGGCATACGCTTCTCGAGTAGCACTTCAGTTAGCCGGGAGTAGCCTGCGAGAGGGGGAGAGAAAAATAAAGTCGAAAAAACATGTATGATGAACCACAGCACAGTAGGAGGTGGGGGGGGTTGTTCCTCGAAAATCCGTGTGGCAAGCTCAACCACTCCGTCGGAAACGAGGCAAACTTGTCGCTCTCCAACTAATTGATGCCCACGCGAGACAGCTCTAAGCGAGCCCGCGAGCAGAGGCATGAGAGGAGAGAGGGATGAAAAAAATCAAGAAAAAGGAAAAAAACGGGGTATCATGCCGTGGCACGTGGGGCTCGCAGGAATCGCTCTGATTCGAAACCATCCCTACCCAAACATGCTGGAAGTGCTCTCTCTTTCCCTTTTCTCCCCCCTCCTTCTCCGGGGCGATCAATTGCGGTGGGGTATCGTGAACATCCCCGGCGACGCGGCGATCGGGCAAGCGCTCGCTCGCTCACTCACCCACTCACCCACTCACCCACTCACCCACTCACCCACTCACATCCCAGTCCCGGAAAGTGGTTCCTTCCCTTACGATATTCACCCCCTTTCATCATACCCGTGCCAGTCCAGGGTCCTGGTGACCCTAGCTCGCTTGGGGAAGGCTCCCTCGGGCGGAGGAATCACACAGTACGGTACTCGTACTCGAGTACCGGCGGTATGAGCATTTCGTGGCATGATGCGGTACGGTATCGTGATGTGTCGGCTCCTTGCTCGAGCCCTCTTACTGTGTTTTTGGTGATGGGCGGGAAGCTGAAGCTGAGGAATGTTTAATTCCCCTCTTCCTTACTGCTGCCACTATAACGATAAATAAGTAGGTTGTCCCCTCCCACCCTGTAAGCCATAGATCTGGTAATATAGCAACAGTCATAACCAGAATAGAAAAGATGGTTGGCCAATCTTGCAGGATATATCTCCACAATTATCACTACCCGCCTGGTTCCGGCCTGTTTGATATGATGGAACCCTCGCCATCCGTCATCTCGGTGAGCGCGGTACAAGGATAAAATAAGGAGGGCACAAACCCCGTATTCTAAGGGTAGCCTGGCTTACTGGGGGTGTCGGGCTTTGTTTACGCATTCCAGTTCCTTTCGCCCTGGAACTGCCTGGCCCCCAAATTCAGCGGACAAGTACTGGTGCTGTGCTAGTACAGTACAGTACACTCACTATATAACACCCAGGGATATACGGTAAGTTAGTACCGTAACTGCGAAATGAGATGAGAATGCTCTCTCTTGCGCCGTACTGCATGTTCCCGGAACTTGCGGGGAGCACCCGTGGCTATCAAATTTCGGAAGAAAAAAAAAAGAGGGTTCAATGGGATTTTTCTCTTTTCCCTTGTGCCCGTACTTGTACCTGCACCCTACTCGAGTACAGCGAAACAAGGAATAACCTACAGTAAAGTGTATATCATCAAAGCGATATCGTCATCATCTCCTTCGTCTTCATCTCCCCTCCTCCGTTCGTCAATTTTAACCAATCCGTCCAATAGAATCCACCTCAGATAATCCTAGCTACGTGATATCCTCAGATTGTTCTCCCCCGAAAGTTGGCCACCGAAAAGAAAAATAAACAAACAAATAAATAAACAAATAAAAAGGCTTCTCCATGACACTTTATGCAAGAGGACGGCGATCACATCCGATCCCTTTTGATCGGCGTGTGGCACTAGAGAGGATTTCTTTTTTTTTCCCCAATGAGCTGGGGCTTTCGAACAAAAACCACTTTCTTCCGAGATCCGGGTTTTCGATGGTAATCACTTTTCAAACAGGCCTTCTTCTTTTTTTCTTCTTTCTCTTCTGTTCTCGTTTACACCTTCCTAGGCCTCACTCGCCCCGCCCTGGAAAGCTTCTTGTGGATCTACCGGGATCATACTAATCCTCAGATGGACGTTACATGCGCAATTTTTGGAACCAGAGAGTTTGTCTGGCTGGATCCGCTGTGGCACAAACGGTGGGGTTGGGAAGGAGGAGAGGATGCAGTGTAAGGTGAGGTAAGGGAAGATCTGATTTTCCTTCCTTTTTCCATAAGGTGCTTGTTGTTGTCTTTGCCTTTTCCTCTATCCTTCCCTCCCTCCCTCCCTTTCTGTCTCTCCACTCTTGCTTGCTGTCTGCGTTGATCTTCCCAGCATGTCCATGTGACCAGAATACAACACGGTTACTCGTAGGGTTCAGACTCACAGGAACGGGCTGGACTGGGTACCGGTACGGTACGTGTCAGTTAGTGGTGAGGAGGGAGAAGAAAAAAAGCAAAAAAAAGCAACTACGTCAGATCTGCTGTTGGGGGTGGATGATTTGCTGCGGGTGTCTCCGTTTTGCGCGTTTCGAAGGGCTTATCATCGCATGCGGTAATGCATCAGTCCTGCAGGGAACGGTGGAGGACAATTGGTCACGGTAGATCACTCGATTATGCCGGTCAATTGGACTCGGAAATGCCGGGTTGCAGTGGAAGGAAACACAGCGAGATTGGTTTTCAGCTCGCTGTTCGACCATCCGCAACGACGTTACTTGCGGGGGAGAACTGATGGATTCCCTTGCGTACGCGCCCTCAAGGTAAAAAGCCCAGGACTTTTTTAATCGTATGTCCGCAGAGCAGCGAGGTGTGGAACCCATAAGACTTGGATGTACCTACCAAGCCAGGGCTTTTCGTATGGGAGGGACATATTGCGACAGACCACTCAAGTTGGATGCTCACTATTTCTTATCTTCGAGAGACGGAAGGTTGAGGAAATTTATGGTGCATCATATTCTGCCGCTAGGGGGCGCCCGATTGCCTTTGCTTGCACGAGTGGAGGGTGTGGCGGTTTGTGGGCCCTTGTCCCCTTTGATTGGCTCGGTCTAGCATGGCTGCATTACGAGAGGATACGGTAGATGTGTAGTAATCTTTCACAATCTTTTTGAAACTCCTCGTGGGAATATTGGTAAAACAATGGCATCCCGACAAACCCCCAATTTTGGCGTTTTGTCCGCTGTGCTGTACGAAAACCTAACTTTTCCAAGCCTACTCGAGTATTTGCGGTGAGCTTCTGGTCGGCCTCGTCGGCGCCGTCGCGTTAACTAGCGTATCATACGCATCAATCAAAATGAACGTGCGTTGCATTGCAGTGCACATCCTGCGGTATGATGATATTTTCTTGTTTTTTTTTTTTTTTCTTTCTTCTCTTTTACCCCTTCCCCTCCATCATTTTTTTTTCACACTTTTTTTTCAGAATGATATTACAAGTATGATATCTTGTGGGATATCCTGGGAAGGGCTACCGACCGTGCTTCCAACATAGCCGAAACATGTACGGTACGATAAGCCGTTAAGATTCAAACCGCATACCGGTAAATGGATCTCGTGAGGGAGAGATTTCCCACCGCTGATCTGGTGCGTCGACTTATTTTTACTTTTAACCCTCATTTTGGAAGGGGGGGGGGGTTTATTATCGGCCGGTGTCCACCAACGTCCTCGGGGAGAGGAGGGTGGGTGGTTGGGAGGGGAATAAATCGTGATAATTAATTTAACTTTTTGACTAAGGAGTTGATGGACGGATGCCCGGGGATAACAAACCGTACTCGTACTGTACTCACATTCTCTAGTGCTTGGCCTTCCTTACTAGCTGTCGGCTGCAGAAAAGAAAAAAAAAGAGAGGAGAAAAAAGAGGATCCTTTTAGCTCACGAGGTCAATCATGGGTTAAGAAAAAGGAAGAAGGAGGGAGGGAAGGAGGGAAGGAAGGAAAGGGAAAAGGAAAAGGATTTTCTCATGATACACCTGCAAACATCGTCAAATCGATGTGTGAAAAGCATCATGACGAACGGGTGTGATATAACCTCTCCCATAACTCGGGTTTGTGCGGCCTCCGCACACTAGGCGGGGAAACCGACTTGTCCCCTCAGAAAATCAAGACTTTAAAAAGCGCCACGTGCCGGAGTAAATATCATAATATTCTCAGAAGATGTTGACCTTGTTGGGAAATGAACCCCAAGATACGCGCCCACGGTACCCTCCATAACTTATCACATTTGACGACAATCCTTCGTTAGCATCCTTTTCTTCCCTTTCCTTTTTTTCGCCCCGACGGAGATCTCCCCAGTCTCTCGGAGGCTTCCAACGTTGGCTGTTTTTTTTTTGCTTATTAACCTAAGAACCGGGGAGTTGGAACCGCACGGAATTGGTCCTATAACACCAAGGAGGGATTGGTGTGGTCTGTGCACATATGATACCTGTTTGTCGGATCAGGACTCATCTGACCTCTAGGACTTGTTTTCCTTGACGGCTTCACGGGTTTCGGCGGGTGAGAGGGCACTAGAAGGACAACTCATTCGGGGTTTACGGTTATTCTATCCTGACTGCATGTCTCGACTTCACGATACCGGTATGTGACAGGACTGTTTAACCCCCACGTTTTTTTTTTTTCCCCCTTCAAAATATTACCACATGATCTCCACCTTTCGAGCGGTGCATTTGAACTGGGTTAGTTTTAACTGCCGCGCTTCATTGGCATCGTCATTTCGGGGTCAATTGCTTCCACTTTATCAGGGAATATATTGAATAGGCAAATAATATGATATCCGCTGTACAGTACGAGTATTACAGTACAGTAACACCCAGGGAGGGGTTTAACCTCCTTAGCCGATAGAAGTCTCGATCGTAAGTTTTTTTCTCCTCCCCCCCCTCCCCCTTCCACGTCTGAAATCGCAATCGTGTCTGAAGCCGGTAAGAAGGTATAACGGTGCTTTGCCAATTCGTAACAGTGGGTAAAGTACAGTAGTCTAGGGAACTGTGCGAATACCGCAACGTTACTGCTATCTAACGTCCGTGGCAAAGGGGCTCTCCGCTCTACTCGAGTACTCGAGTACACATCCTGTGCCGATCGGGCTGTTGATTGGGTGAGAAGGCTTCACACACACACACCCCTGCATTGGCGCAATGCAGCGACGAGGAATGCTCGGGTAAACTCTCGGGAGGGAGCCATTGTTGACGTCTTGGGTGCTTTTCTGGAAGGAAGCTCCGCGGGTGGACAAGGAAGGAAGGGCGATGCTCAGATCTCATCCGGTGGCAGCAGCCTGCCCACTTGAGATAGGCTACTGCTACTGTGCTCGAGCTCTGTCAGTACTCATAAAATTACCAGAGTACGGCTCGCGAGTGATCGCTCATGATGTGGATATCATGGCAAGCACCAACGCTCAGTCCCCTCGACTGCTCGATCCTACATACCGCACAGCGCAGTACCATACAGGTACGGATATCGAAATCCACCGGTGCTGCACCGGTAATCGCACTGGGTCAACACCTGGCTCTTACTTGGAGAGGTTTGCCGCCCGTCGGTATTACCAATGCGGACAGCCGTCCCGGTATGATAGAACGGGTTCCCCATTACCCTAGTATTCCTACCTCCCCCTGGTTGGGGCGAATTATTGCATCCCTCACTTACGGAAGGGGTCAAGTTTGGGTAAAATTCTTTGGCCCTCACTACCTACCGAATATACACCCACCCACGGGCACACGCAGCCTCTTCTCTTCGCGACCTCACACTCGAGTGATAGTGTATGACTTTCCACATGCTTCATAGGAGTTTCACGTGCAAAAGAGAAAAGGGGGGGGGGGGGGGAAATGAAGGGTTACAGGATAAACTATTATTCTTGTGTGAATTGATTGGGCTTACGCGAGGTTAGGGCCTCGGGGCGGGGTGGAAGGCTCATAATGGTATGTACAGCAGCCTCTGTCTCTGTTCGTCTCTCCCGAAAGAAAAAACCTGGACACGGTGGAAGTCTGAAATGCCGGTACTTTTTTTCTTCCTCTCCCTCTTCTCCTTCCTCTTGCTTACATGTTACAAATGCAAACAATCACCTGCCTGTGAGAGGGCGAGCCCTCCATCCCTTCGCGAATTATCAGAAGGGGAAAAACAAAAGCTAAGGCGGGACTACATCTATGATACCTTACCAGCTTCGGCGCCATATAATGAGAGAAAAGGAGCCCGTACACCAACACCTCCGCACATCCACACGCGCACTTATACCAAGGGAACTCGACCTATCCCCTTCTTCCGTAAGAGACCCGATCATAGCATGCACCCAGTCCTAACCCCCCCTACTCATTCAGCACGCTCGATGCCTGTGCAAATTGGCCGGACAAATCATACTCGCGCAATATAGTATAATATACTATATTTCCTCACCGCTCTCACGCCACGTGGAAAACGACAATCTTCCGATCTAGTATTGCACGGGCCCTAGGATCTACCTTAGGATTGGCTGGGCCGTAAAGAATATACAGTACAACACGGGATTCCCGTTTTTTTGTTGAATGCACATTGGGCGTAAGTTGTTTGGGGGATGGGGTAACGTGATTTTTTTGTTCCCTCATTTCTGCGATGGCACTTTGGTGATGGTAACGCTCGGGGTGGGTTTTAAGAGGGGTGCATAGTATACTCGAGTATGCTCGCGTAATGGAAATAGAAGTTGCAGAATGGGGTGGTCTGGATGTTCTGAGTGATTGCCATCATTGCCTGGCGCCGATCTCCCGGTTGTTGGCCGGTAGGGTACCGGCATTATACTCGGCCGAAAGAGGGAGCGCAGCATGATAGCGTGTGGAAATTGATGGGTGGACAGGTAGGAGTAACTGGACGTGTCGAATAATACGTTGTTACGACCAAATTTCACCATGGTCTTGTCCTCATCTCTGTCTTTCCGATACTTGCTCAAGTTTGTATATATATATATAATTTGCTACGTGTCTTTTACACCGAACACCGGTGTGCAGAGTAATAAACAGTACTAGGTTTTACCAAGCCTCCGCTGGATCCCTCCTACCATCATTGCATCCATGATAGTATGAGAAAAGTAGAATAAAATAAAATAAGAACTTTATAGTACAGTTGTCGATCGACAAAAATTGTTGGGTGAAGGATGGATCGTCGGAATGAATGCCCCTGGGTCATTCTAGTCTGCCTGTCTGTCCATGCGGTAATATACGAGGCCATACTTTTTTTTTTTTCCGAGGAGAGAAAAAAAAAAAGGTGATATTGGATGATTGGAATTACTGGGCATTTGTAAAAATGTCTGTCTGTCTGTCTGTCTGTTCCACTGTTTACGAATTGTATGATATAGTTGTTATGAGTTATTACCAGTGTGTGAGGATGGTAGGAGTATATATCTCTTGGTGCTTTGTCAGTGTTCGTTATCTGATATATCTCGGTGCCACGCGTCCAAAGGGTGTTCCTTTCTTTTTCCTTTCTTTTCCCTTTCCTCTTCTTGAGGATTTGTTTTTCATGTTCCTGCTGTGCCTACTGGTAATCCTGTGCGGATGATGGGCTGTTCCGTTGGTAAAATTGTAGAAATTGGAAATTGAAAGGAGTGGTACAGTCGGACTTTTAATCGATGTGATATGTATAGTGAGGGAAAGTGAGATGAAGGATCAGCTCTTGTATGGACTTGAAGGTGGATTGAAAAAGAAAAAATTGAAAGAAAAAAAAAGGTATTTAATGTCTGGAGAAAAGTATAATACTCAACTGGTCCATTACCTTTATAATATTATTAATAATAAGCAGCTTGTCAGTGAATGCAGTGCAATGTTTGACTTTTACAACTGTGAAAAACTTATCAGGAATTGTCTCCTGAACTTGGACCGATGGTGATATCCGGTTTGAAAAATTAAGTTGATAAAGGTGTCATAAATCCACTTCAAGAAACTTGAGGGGTATTAGACAAGTTTCTTGTAGCCGCCAGTAGATTCGTTGGACTTTCTGATTTTATAATAATTATCCATCAGTAGTATGGTGTAGTGAAGGTTTTTCCCAGTTCTCCTTCCCTTCTCTCCTTCTTTGGGGATAATTCCTAGCGGTTTGGTGAATACTCCTCCCTTTTTCAATTTCCCTCATATAATCAAAAGACCGTCGTTACTTTGGGTGATATTCCCAAAATCCTTCACTGTCTGAAATTTTTTTTTTTATGTCCTTTAGTCTAAGATAATCTCTTATAAGCTTCAAACTCAGGTGCCGGTTTAGCCTTACTTCTTTCAAGTTGCCGGCTAACTTTCTCCCAACATTCGGTTATCTGCATCGACCGAAATCTGATAGTGAGATGTAAACTTTTTCTACAACTGCTATCTGGTCCAACTCCTATACAGTAGTAGAGCCTTGCTCCATACACCATCGTCCTTTCTGCTCACTAAGATAGTAGTGGTGATCTGCTAGAACAGGAAGACCCTCTATCACACTCTTCTGGAAGGAATGAGAAAGAAAATTTTATAATACCAATCTGAACTAGGAGTATCCAACTAACCAACCAACCAACCACCCAGCCAACAGCAGGGGACTTTCTTTCCCGGGAGAGACAAGGATCATTCATACCTTTAACTACCCGTATAGGCTCCGAAAATTTCACGCCGGTGACATGGTTGCTACAGTAATAATAAAGATTAATCCAGCGTCCGTAGTTGCCTCTCCCGAAAAGTGGGCAAGGAGTCTTGATATAATGTCATGGTAACGGTAGGCGCGGATCGGTATCCCAGTGAATCAAAATAAAAGATGTTAAAAAGTTTTCCGGTTGATCGAACATGACTACGGTAGCTAGCTGGCTGGCTGGCTGCATACCTATATACCCGGCCACCTGGAAGGTAAAGAAAAGGAACAAATTCTCAGATCATGGATTATCACACGTATATTGATTACTATATCGGCGGGTACCCATACCGGTAGTGCGGCACGATACAAAGCGATGGAGCCAGTGCCGTACCGTGCCATACTATACCATACAATACCCGTACGGTAGCCAATAGTCTACATTACAGCGACGAATCTACCCCATCTCATTCTTATTATTATTATTATTATTTTCTCCCTTTCGAAACGTGGGCCAGTGCGGGTTATCCGTGCAGCAGCGAACGGTTCCCTTTCACAATCCTTCCCCTCCAGTTGCTTTGCTTTGCTTCCATCGGTTTCCACCATGTTCGCTTCGTCGTGAGGTTGGAGATTGCGTTACTTTCCGTCTTCTGGCGGGTGTGCGATTACCGGTACTGTACTATGCGCGCTCGGGCAATCACGTTGTGCATGTGAAGGTGGTTTTGGGCTTATGAGAGAGAAAGAGTGGGGGTGGGATGTTTCTTGGGCTCTTTCGTCCTTTTTTTTCTTTTTCCAGAGTTTATCTTTGTAGTCGCCGATCTCCCGCGCACAAGTGTGCGGGATTGGGACTGGGGTGTTGGTCCTCTGACGACTTGATTGGGTTTGTGCCCGGGTTTTTGTATGGATTGGGGTGACGATTCCTCGTGGTGATATTTGCGGTGCGACCACACCACTTAGGAATGAGGTACCGATATGGTATTGGGAAGGAAGGTAAAAGAAAAAAAAGAAAAAGCACTTCATTCGAGCACCACACAACTTAGGGTATACATTACTATTGCGTACAGTTAAACATGTCTAGACCTTTAAACCTTCAACGTAAGAGACGAAAGCCTCTTCTACAATCTCTTTAGCCCTACGAGATCATCCATCACGTATCCATACACACTGGGGAGACTCCATCCACCCCCGCTTCTCTGCCCCCCAGCAACTACTGCCTTCGGCCCGCTCACGAGCGAGCCTGCCAATCCACTGAACCAACCTTCGCTCTTTGCGAATTCTACAGGTTTCGGTACAATGATTTTGGCCCCAGGCATGTGCTCCGAGTAGACATTACCTCCTTCACCACCACCTGGGGCGGGCTCCTCAAAACCTGTGGGCAACCTCCTCAAGGATCGCGGTGAAGCTAAGGCCTGAGAACTGCTTCGTCTAAGCGGTGTGGGAGGAGGATCGATATCCATCTGAGAGGATGTATAGGGTAAGGGGTTGTCAATGATCGGATCCTCAGTCCAGAAGGTGATAATGATTGTCCTTCCACCAATCACCAATTCACCTTTTGCTGACCCTGCGACAGCGCGCTCTGCAGCTTCGCGTTCGCCAAAGGTAATTCTGACCCAATGCCCAGGGCCTCCGTCCGCACCTGCAAGAGGTTGTGCCTTCCGTAATGTCTTCGCGTCCAACTGTTCACGCGGAACAATGTCAGGATCATGAAACTTGCTCTCGTTTGCCGGGAGTCCAGAATACGGTTCCAGTATAACGCCGTAGTATCGGCGCAACGAACGAATAAGGTCCGGAAACCTATCTTCAGAAAAGTTTGCGACTCGAACTTGTGTTGGAGTGAATGTAGCATCGGCAGGCTTTGACTCCAACGGAGCGGGATCGAAAGGCATAGAATCGTATATTGAGAGTAAAGGCGGCACATTTGTATCAGCAGCATGAAGAGGTTGGTCATCCGTCATGGACGATGAACGGTTGCGGGTTCGACTTATTCTGAACAGTGAGCCTAGGTCAAAGGGGGCAGGAAGCAAAGCAAACTTACGGGCGAGATCCAAAGGTGTTTCTGGGCCAGTGACCACTGGGGGAGCCTGGAGGAGATGACGATAGTGTCTTTTTGAGTCTATGAACTGTGTCAGTGTTGGTCTTGAAATGTCGGCTGTTAGTAACATACGTTGGCTTTCTCCTTCCTTCCAAAGGTTCATTAAGACCACCGTGCGCGTCCGCTTCGAGCTATGCGGGTAAACCATTAGTTTGGTACAGAGATATAGAATCAGAGAGGGAAGGAGCATACCAGAGAGGCTCTTGCATCGGTCGCAGGCTGCAGGGTGGAAACTTTATGGATATATGAAGAGGCAGCGGTCGGTACATTCGGGTTTTGCCGTAGAGAAGAAAAGGGCGCTGGCTGATTGGCAAAGGACGGGTAATCCTGAGGAGCCGGAATCCCTTGCTTTTTGTGCCACTCTGTGAACTTTTTCTCTTTGGTGAAATCCGGGACCGTGACTGAGGCGTCGAAAGCGGAGTTTGCGAATGTCGAGTTATTGGCGGTGGTGGCTGAATTAAAGAGAGGGTTAAAGCTGGAAGAGTAATCCATGCTGGTTGTATCGAATTCTATGAGAAATGCCGTGATGCGTGGGAGCTGCGCAGGATGTAGAAACGGTGACTATTGATTTGAAGAGGTTGGGAGTTGAGGAAGACGTGTTGTTCCTGTTTGACGCCACCAACAAAAACTTGGCAACAGGGTAACCTCTTCACAAAGAGATGGGATCTGATAAAAGTTTGTCACGTGCTCTATAGAACCCGTGTTCCGACCAATAAGGGGATTTCTCAAACAAGAATTTGGGATCTTTCAGGTTATCGCCACGGCAACAGGTCCCAGGTTAGGGTTTCATGTCCCATGTATGATACCGGTAAGAAATAGCGAGTGATAGCTGACGCTGGAAATTCTGTTACCTAAGCAGAAAGATACCACATGGTATAATACCAACTCTCCCCGAAGGAGGGTAGATAGCCGTCCGAGAGCTCATGATGACAACCACCTTGCTTCTCCCCGGCCAGACTCAAGGCTAGAATGAGAGGGAAAACCCTCCAGAGTGTGGATTTTATCATTCCTATAAATTGTTCGGGCTTTCCTGAATTTCGATTTAATCAACATGGTTTAAGGTTCACAAAGTGAGTCCCTTTGTAGGTCCCAAGGGTACGACAGGGTTGATACTAAAAGGTACACATTCGAGCACATTTGATCAGAGATTCAGCTCATCTAACACAAGACACCAGAAAACCATACTAGCTGACTGATTATTATCCTAACTTTTCATAGCATTTACGGAATCCCACTTTTTGCAATCCGCTTACTGTACTGTTGCAGTAAACAAGGCTGTTATCATATAATTATAGAGATCCTGAATTCTTGTTTGCAGGACCCCCCTAATAGTTTAGAGTTAGGGTTAGGACAGGGGGTTTTCCGGAGAGCGAGCAGGAAAGAGGAGAATATAAATACTGTATACTATTCCTTAATGGTCTCTTCTAAGGCTGACATTGCAGACGAAATGGCATACCGGCACTTACGTGCAGGTGCGGGGTATCATTGAATCTTAAAGTCAAGCCAAGGCGGCTACTTACACAGTATGAATACATGGGCAGGCTCCGGTATGCCAAATTTATACGGAACTCTGAAGGCGGGATTTAAGTTTTCGCTAGGGCTAGGGGTGGGGGGCTGTGCTGGTAAGTATTGGGTGAGAGTATTCCTCATAGGAAGTGTATTGGGATGGATTCAAACAGGGGAGATGGTTCTTGGGTGGCCTGTGTGTTATTCTTTGTCGTGATTTTCCCGGTTACAAAGTATAGGTACGGATGATGTACTGTTCTCGCAAGAGGTGTTGCAATTAGGTATCTCCGGCCGGCCACTAATCTCTGGATTTAGAAGCAGAAGCTCCTGAGAGAGATTAGTGCTTTCCTGACACGGTATAGTTGGTCTTGTTGGGTCTCGTCGGTGTGTGTTCGTAGCTCTATCGACTGGCTGGGCTACAGTATACTGATGTGGTGATTTCCGCCGAAAAGCTAATAGCGAATTCCAAGGGTTCATACGGCACCGGCGTTAATACACATCCTAACTCTATTCAGTTCCACTAGTTGAGAAACTGGTCTATCTTAATCCTGGGCTGAGGTGAGCTGGAGAAGATTTCCTTAGTCCCACCTCACTCCCGCACAGAGACCCCTTTTTGGGTACGGGCTAGGATTGGGGGCGAACTACCATGCGGGGGGGATATTTTTGCCTCTATCGAGGGTACACTTGGGTTAAGTTTTCTCCTCTGGTCGTTGAGGATAGTTGGAGGCTTTAGAAGGCGAAATTCCTATGGGTCTACATATCTGAGATCTCTAGCGCAGCCCCACCAGCGCTATACTTCCTGTAAACCCGCCATCGGGCATGTATACTGCTTTCTTTCTTTCTTTTCCGGGGGTATCCAGTGTTGCAATACTAGTGGAGGGAGAAGGAACGCTAAAACAAATGGCTTTATGGCAGCAAGTTGGTGGGACCCTGATGGACAGTGAGAAAGATGTTCTGAACATGGTGATGTCTGAACAGGGCGTTAGTAGCGGGAGTATAGAACCGCCCACGTTTAAAGCTTGCCTTTGTTAACGCATTAGAGGCAATCGACCACCCGGCGCGACCTTAGATTGCACAGCACCAAACACGGACTCGAATGATTGGACATGCGTGGACACACGTGGGCCAATAAGCACTGGAGCGTGCTGTTGTTAAGAGCTTTCCATTTATATTTGTTTCCCTCTTTCCTTCCTTGCTTTGCACTTTACAAGGTACCTTCCATACGTTCCTCCCGGATCAACCCTGTGCCCTATGTATCGCACTCTCTCCGTTCGACTGATCTTTTCTCCTCAGTTCACTTCAATCCATTAAATCTTCGCTCTAATCATTCCGTCTCCTCCCCACATTTTCAACATTTTTATGGTTCCCGAAGACGAGTGAGGTTACATGAAGATGAGATGACAATGAAAGGTCTGATACACTCAACGATAACCCGCTGCTCAAATGGGGCTTGGAAAATCTATGAAAACCAGAAGGGGGCAGAGCAGGATGGTGCGGGGCTACCGGTACTAGCAAGGCTCCACCCAAGACCTCGAGCGTCGATGATTGCTCCTCATTGCATCGGCCCACCATAAGGTTTTGTTCACTGTGCTTTGCAGGTGAATTATCCTTCATGTCCTGTATCCCCCTACCTCTCCAATGTTGTCTCGTTTTTAGCACATATGATAGTGACCTTACCGGATGATGTAGACATGTTCCCTAGTTTCTTCAACAACCGCATTACAGGTTTGCATAAGCCCTTCAAGACCTCAATGGAGTTGGAAATGACTCGGTCAGTTTGTCCTTGTATGAGCCTTTTGGCCCAATAGGACCTAGTGCCTGGCTCTACAGAGGGATAGCTATTGGAGCCAGCGCCCAGTAAGCAAGAGAGCATACTGGTGCATGCTAAATACCTTGGTTGAGAAACAAGTTTCATATAACTACTTAGAACAAGCCCCTCCTCAGTTCTATTGACTCTAGTCCCCTACCGAGTGGGTATTGGTCGAGAACGGTAAGGTGTGGATTTCTGGCGGGAGATAATAATATTATCATATAATATACAAATTTATTCTAGCAATGAATTTTTACATGTATTATTAAGAAACCCCAGGGATCTATTTCAGGTGTCCGGTACCATGCGAGCAGGGCACGCTTATTTCTCTTTCCATCTGCGGTATCCCGAGCATGGCAAAAGATTTGGGAGCTAGACTCTGCAATTCGATTTTTGCGCACACGATTTTGAATCCTGTACTCGTATATGTTAATAATATTGTGATTTTCCCCCGCATGACAACTTCTCCCTACTCGTTAGTGCTCACTCAGGAAATTTGCAATTAAAAGTGGTGCCATATATGATACGATGCGCCCCCAAAGCCCCCAGGCTTAGTTTTCGTTGTATCACTCCGGGGTTTGGGGGCGTCATAGCCCAAATTAAGATATCACACCATACTGAGGACACTTACTTGGATAACCAATGCGTTCTATCTATGAACCTCTCGGTAGGGGTAGCCAATTTAGGCTTTCCCCAGAAAACTATATTTCCTACCAGACACAATCTCCGGTAGGAAATTATGAAAATATGGTGCCTGGAACAAAGATCTGGTTTACGGCTGTTGTGACGGAAAAGGCCATTTCCTGAATTTCTAGATTATGGCCATTTCAGAAGAAATGAAACCACCCATATTATGATAGGAAACCTAATAAATCCAAGCACATAGAAAATGGTTTTTCACAGGATAGCTTCCAGCATCAGATTGTTATTTTTCCATTTTGTGTATGTATGATAATAATATCACTAAGAAATAAGGGTTAGTGTGTTGGGGCCACGGCCCTGGGCTAGGTGGTGCTTGTGCACCGGTTTCTAATGTATCATAGGTTCCTAATCCCCCCAAACTTGGACCGAGGGGGAGGGTATCATAGTACAGATTCCGGGAAATCTAGGATTTATGATATCATAATATTATTATCATAGAAGCTGACCCTCCAGGTCCTATGATAGCATGAAAATATGTCAAGACCACTCCCAAATCCCTTCCAGGTCCCTATCGGAAGTCCTCCACTACTTCCAGTCTAATGGCTGACTCTTGGATTGCGTATAGACGAGTGACCGGTAGTGACCCCTTAGTACTAGTACTGTATATTTTCATGTGGTTTAACAGTACTGTCAGCCCGTTCAATGCGGAGAGTGACTGGCAAACCAACCTAAAACCCCCCAATGTCATGACAGATCCCCCCAGGGGGTCACTGGCCAGGCCGCAATCATGGCCTTTCCTATCTGTCATTGAGCCCTTGTACTGTGCTAAAATCTCGGGCTTTTGTAGTGCAAGTGAGTGAGCCGAGGAAGCACAACTGCTGGTCAGCCACGTAAGCGGGTTGGCTTAGTAATCGGATCCGCAACATTCTAATGGAAGGAAATTTTCACCCCAACGTCCGCCTCCTTCCTTCATTTTCCTCTTCTCCGCACACTGACCGTTTCTCTCTTGCTCCACCTTCAACGTCTGCCCTAGAAAGTCCGAAGAAAAAAATTTTGCCCCGCGTCCCCTCCCTCTCCACCCCCAAACAGGTGTTCATCAACTCTGTTCACTTACCCCCTTTCTTGCTTCATAAAGAGCATTTTTATTCTCACGAACAACCGGAGTTTAATAACAAAGCCATCGTTGTTCATGAATCTTTCCCCCACAAAAAATTCACCATCGATTCGTTCTCGGCTTAGACGGCCTTTGAAAAAGACCAGGCGGGCTTCTAACATACGCTCCATCACTTAAAATCTATCCTTTAGGAAACCTCAAAATCAAGGAACAAAATTTCCACTCGTTGCCGCTAATAGAAGGAAATCTCGACGACCTAGCCTATCGGATCTGGTCTAGTTCATGCTGTTTTTTCTCGCCGCTCTTGCTTTAGAATCATCAACCATCACGAAAACATCGTCCAGAAAATAAGCCCTGACAAACCGCAATCATGGCTGCCATCAATATCCGTCGCGATATTACCGATCCCTTCTACCGTTATAAGATGGAACGTCTTCAGTCCAAGATTGAAGGGAAGGGTAATGGTATCAAGTCGGTCATTGTCAACCTCAGCAGTGTCGCTCACTCCTTGAGTCGTGATCCTGCATGTAAGTTTTGCTATCAGATTCCCCCAATACATCGCTGCTCCCCCACCTGCGGAAAGGGAAGTTCGGCAGTTTACTAATAGTAAATGCGTAGATGTTGTCAAGTTCTTCGGGTTCGAGCTCGGTGCTCAGGTCACTGCCAACCCTACTAATGATCGATATATCATCAATGGCGCCCATGACGCAGGCAAACTTCAGGATTATCTTGATACCTTTATCACTAAGTTTGTGCTCTGCGAGGAATGCAAGAACCCTGAAACCGATTTGATTGTCCAGAAGGATGGGACTATTCTTCGCAATTGCAAAGCCTGTGGTCAGCGCACCGATGTTGATGCTCGTCACAAACTTTCCTCTTTCATCACCAAGAACCCACCAAATAGGGAAAGTAAGGAAAAGAAGGCCAAAGGCTCTAAAAGGAACGGCAAGAAGAACGGTGATGCCGAGAATGGCAACTCCCCTAAGGACAGCGGCTCTGAGGATATGGGTGGAGAGGCCGATGGCGGTTCGGATGACGAGCTTACCCGCCGTATTCAAGCCGAAGCCAAAGAGCTTCCTACAAATGGTGATAGCGTTGAGATTAAGGATGACGATTGGGCGGTTGACATGTCGGAGGAAGCTATCAAGGCCCGTGCTCAAAACCTGCCCGACGATTTGAAGCGTTCCTTGGCTATCCGGGGTGATGACGAGGAAGCCACTGGTGGCGACAATCCCTTCGATCAACTCGGATCCTGGATTGTGGCGCAAAAGGCCGAGAACAATGGTGAAGTGGACGATGTGGAAATTTATAAGAAGGCTCAAGCACTCGGCATCGAGTTGAACCATCGTACTCTCCAAGTTCTTGCTCAAACCCTCTTTGACGAGAATATCATCAAGAAAAACCAGGTCAAGGTTCACGCTGGCCTTCTCAAAAAGGTTCGTGTTCCCATACGCATACACCGAAATCACCCAGCTTACAGACTATTTAGATGATCACTTCTGAACGCCATGAAAAAGCATTCTTAGGAGGAACAGAGCGCTTCGTGGGCATTGACCACCCGCAACTCATTTCGGCTATCCCTACCATTCTTATGGCATACTACGAAAACGATCTTGCCTCAGAGGATACTATCACCAAATGGGGTAGCAGGGCCAGCCAGAAGTACGTCGATGTTCCGACAAGCAAGAAAGTCCGCAAGGCAGCAGCGCCATTCCTCACTTGGCTTCAGGAGGCGGATGAAGATGGTAGCGACGATGATGAGGACGACGATGAGTAGGGATGCGGCTTACAAATCGCACAAGCACTGACTATGTTAGTACTTGGAGCCGATGGCAAGCTTGCATTTCATGGTTGTTCCAACTTCAATGCTATTTTTCTGTTTGAAACGTCTTGACAATTTCTATTTCTCTCCTTCCTGTTTTCTTCCCTGTCAACGGCATATCAATGCTGCGAGTGTTATTTTATGTGTTTTGAAATTCAATGTTATGTAACGAAAGCAAAATTGCAAATGGTAATGTCAAGCTCCAATATAGGTGTTAAACTGGTATAGTTCTTGAACATTCTTCATCGGTGGTCACTCATTGTATCGCATCGCAACGACACACCAAAGCAATACCAAAATGAGGGGAAGAAAAAGGTTGGCATGAATAATTCATGTCCACCGTGCCAACACCCTTGCGATCCAACATGAAAATATGTCTTCAAGTAGCTGAGAATCTAGGCAAGCTGTAGCTGTAGCATACTGTGGTAGTCCGTATCATACCATAGCAAACACTACACTCGAGAACCGGGAAAAACTTACCGTGAGCCCAGAGGCAAACCGAAAGTGACGGCTGCCCCCACACAACACTATTAGACATTCGAGGTTGTTGAAGTTGGCTCAATCAAATAAAGTGCCGTAAAGTTTAAAGAACCCTTATAAATCCGGGATGACTTCTGCTCCTTGCTGATTAGCTTTTGTAGCCCGGAGCCCATTCTCTCTCTCTCTCTCCATCTGGTGTTCCTCCGGCCCTTTTGTCCAAACAGTGTGTTCCTATGTATACACTAGCAAAGGATCAAACGGATTCTCCTGTAAAGGGGCGTTATATATATATCTTCTGTCTCCAACCACTTCTACAGTATTGTGTCTCGGACACAGCTACAATACGATAATTGAGACCCGTTGAGGAGAGTGAGAGGCAGTGATTAGAATGGAGGTTTCACAGAGTGGAGTTAAATGGAGAACAACCCGGAGAGTAGTTAGGAATAGCAAGTATATATATAATACACGGTGCACGAAGAGTTGAGGGTGGAATCAGTAAGGAAAGGAAAGAAAATTAAATTTCAACGCCACCATGCTCCGGTGTGCATGATAATATTATTATACAAGTTAGTCCAACGATGTCGAATGATGATGATGTTCTAGATTATTAGACCGAGTGATAAACTATGACTCCATTTTTGATATGATACAATATTTGCCATTCATCACTGGCCGCAGGGGGGGGGGCGATTATGAAGATGCATAGGGTGAAAGCAGCAATTCCGGAACAATACCACACGCGTCACGATGCGTCACTGATATATAATTGCGGTTAGCTAGCAGGCCATAGTCGAGAACATGTAGATGCTCTCTGTGAACACCCATCTTCTTCTTGGACAAGTTCCATTATCAGCGGGCGAGTATCTGGGCTTCAGTGCTGCATTGCGGGGAAACAGGCTATACCGATCCTCATCTCGTACGTTGATGTCGCATTCGAGTGGTGGTGTCTTCGCAATTCGCAACGCTGACATCACACCACCGGCGCATGTGCAGTGGAGCGGGACTCGGCCCGCACTGTCAACCGCATCCGGATTGGCGACATCCCCGGGAAGTCTCTCTCATGTCGACCCATTATTGCGGGAGTTACCAAGGTCTGTGAGTGAATTGTTTTCCGCGCCGGCTTCGTGGAGGACTCCTACAGTCTACGAGGTGCACCGGGACACAAGACGGAGAACGGCCCCGGCCATTAGACCGTAGCTGCGGTGGCCCTCCGCAATAAGGTTTTCGAGAAGCGGGCGTGATGCCTTCGCCGTCCATGTCTAGATATGCCAGGTTTTGGCCCGAGTATTCCGGTGCCAAATCTAACTTCGCCAAGTTGGGTGTCCTGCACCAAATACACATACTCGGGATAGAGGTTGCAAAATTCGCAGACTAAATCGACCAAATCCTCGTCAACTCGAGTCTCGGTCACTTTTCGGAAATGGTAGGCTCGGTAGGAGGTAGCTTATCAGAGGATGTCGTATCATCCAACAGCCATTTCGACCGTTGCACTTAATGCTGGACCACTCCTGTTTGTTTTTTTTCGAAATTTCCCATTTGGCCCCGTGAGCGTGCTCCTCGCAATGTTAGGGAACATCAGAAACGCGAGGCATAGCCCCGCAATATCCCCTTGTTCATGGACCGTGCCCCGTACATCCAGGAGGCCTCCACCACACTCCAAGCCCGGGGACACGGGATGTGCTCACAGTTTCCAAGTTGGTAATATCTGACTGAGTTATATCCTCAGGTCGTGCGCCCCTATCATAAACATCACCAAGAGCTCGTTTTCGATATATGAAAAATAGGGCCTTTGGCTGTCTGACGTACGAGTATAAGACGAATCACCTTCGAGGAGGGTGGTGGTGGTGGTGCCACAAAACGGAGAATGCCATCATCATCCAACCTCAGCACCAAAATGACTTCCCCGTGGTCTATTCCGACACTCTCTACTACTTCGAGATATGGAGGCCGTTGTGCACCATAGTCTATACCCCGTACCACTTCTAGTTATTGGAATGACTTGACCCCAAGTTCGAGCACGGTTGCTTTTCGAAGCTCGTGAAACGCCAACTCCCTGGCTGCACGCACAACCCATGAGAGTATTCTAAGGATAAGGGATGCCTGATCTCTGAGGAGGGGCCTTAAAAGACGGAGGAGGTTCATTTCAGCGAGCAGATGACCTGATGGAGCTTTGCCGTCTTCACACCCTCCCTACAAGCTCTTTCCTTAGCCCAACCTCCTCAATGTCGCCAAGTCCAAGCCTACGTCGTATTCCTCGTAGATACCCTTTTGCTACATTGCTGGTATCCTGTTGAGAGAGTTTGTGGGACAGTCGAACACAAATTGGGGACCGGGAGAAGAATAGCAAATACTTCAGGCCACTTGCGATTGTTGCAAGGTAGACACAGAACTGCCCTTTTCGAATCTAGCTCACCGTCGCCTCACAGTAGAATATGCAAAATATGCACCACTAGTGGTAGAGGACAGACTTTCCCGTCCCAGGACCACCAGAGATGTGTAGGATAAATGAGGGGGCGTAAGCCTCCATCCCTTGTAGTGCCCACTCGTCAAGACTCATTAATGCCCCCCCAGATAGAGTCTTCACGGACAAGCTGTCATCCTAGTCATCCGAGGTGCCTATGGAATATCAGGAAATCTGGATATGGAGCCCAGTTGGAAGATGCAGCTACATATAATCAACAAACAACACCCCTCTTTTGCTTACTATTAGAATCAACATTATTCTTACCATCCAAAAATAAAATTGGGGAAGGCTTGGTAAGTGGTTGGTTCGAGATTTCGCTGGGCTTCATATCTTCCCCACAGCATAGGCAACCAGATTCCATATCGACTGAACTCCCCCCAAGTCCGCCAGGTCAAACACAAGTTTGGTAGGCTTAATTTTCTGAGCTCTTTCCGAGCAGTAGTGGATCCAGTCATATCTGAGCACTTTTTGATTAGCGCTCCACCCTCCAAGTTCATCGGAAGGAAGCGGGTACGAGTGAAAATGGATACCCAAGGGCATTCCCTACACCGGGCCCAGGGACAGCGGCGCCAAAGCTGAGGCTGGCTATGGTGATGGTTCGGTGGCTTGATCCCCCAGAGTTGGAAACCCATGGATTGGTAATGCTCGTTTGTCTTCCGAAAGTTTGAGGATTACAATCGAGACGAAACCCTGGATTAGGTATAACGCAACAACAGATACCGCCAGTGAAACAATAAGTCCTGCCTTGAGCCCCTCCAGCTTTACTATCGTTTCGTATCGGGGTTGGCGATGTTCTTTTTCCTTTTTGTAAGTGAGAAAATCACGTCAGCCTCCATTCAACCAACCATGAGTGCCTCCAAAGGACTCCGCAAGTCTCCAATAACAATGCCAAGAACAAAAGCCGCTTCGTAGCAACGGCGAGGTGCCCGCCTCTCCATGCTATGGTGTTAAAGAAAGCCTGACTGCCAAAAGCTACCAGCTAACTGATCGTGGGGTTTTCGCCGCATTATCTCCCTATGAGACAACCGAGGACCTCTACGATACTGCAATGGATTCGAACTCCTGTTTTAGGATACCGGTAATATATTGTCTGGGCTCGTAAATGCCAATGATTGGTGCCCCGAACACTTCGCGCGCAGATTTACAGGTCCCTGGCACGAGCGGACTGAACACAGCGGGGGTTCCCGGAGTTGAAAGTCCTTGGCAAAGCCACTCCCCTATGTTCACTCCGTACATGCCAGGGACTTGTACAATGCGTCACAGCAGACCTGTCACCACAATCACCCTCCACCGAGCCCAAGTGCAACGATATTACACTTAAAATTACGCCACCTCTCTGAAACCGCCAACCAACCACTCTCCCACCTCTCCGTCGAAGGTCACAAATCCACAATGAGCACGGACACAGCCCGAGGGTTCGATAAGCCCGAGGAAAAGCGATCGTCCGTAGCCTGCCGGCTACGGACCGCTGAATATCATTTACGGTAGTCTCACCTCGAGAATCTGTTTATCAGTCCGCCGAAGGAATGAGACGCCAGTGCCGGTATGAAATAGATGCCTTCATGCCTCAGGCGTACCAATATCCCAGGTAACGCTAAGCACGCCCGAACCGGACATTTCCATGTGCCGCCGTTTGCCGTTCCCCCTGTCTGTAATTTTTTCTAAAAGCCCCGATCAGAACGAAATGCCACCGCTTTCGAACAGGGCTGCCAAGGAGAAGCAGACTAACGCATAAACTTCGAGACAGCAAATCACTGACGAATGGCAGCGATAATTGTGAAAACTTATATCACAAAGGTCGCCAACGCTGCACCCCAAAGACCCCACCCAATCATACAAGTAACACACAAACCTCACCCATGTCCATCCATCCAGCAGGGATGGAGGCTTGGACCGTGAGACTACGGTGCCTGGCCATGGGCTGACCTCTCGGCCCGGAGAACCTATGCCCCGCTAACACCGGAAACAGCAGAGTGAGTGATCCCACATGATCTTCCAGTACTGCACGGTACACCATGGGCCATGCTGGCTCCTACAACTCTGTGTATGCCTTCACGATCTGACTCCGGAGTCCCCCGCATGGCAGGTAACCCGACCTTCACCTGCCATACTCCATAATACCCCCCAGTACTGCGCTTGTACTCGAGTACAGTATGGCTTGTTGGGCATGACGTGGACTAAGCTAGGGACGAGATCCCCCCCCCAGTTAAAGAGGCTCTTCGATATCGCCGCAGGGCCACCAAGCCACATTGCGAAGGTGGGGACCCATTAACCGGAACGGACAGAGATATATTTGGCTGCCAAACCTCAAATAACTATTTCCGTAACCTTCTTGCTGGACCTTGTAGCGTACTCGTACAGCACTTGTGTATCAGCAGTGAATGGAGTGCCAGCATGTCGGTCGCGTGTCAGGTGCCAAGCCGCCAAGGCCGGTTGCCAGAGCAACAGGTCACGTGGATTAGATTGGTTGTGAATCATGCACGTCGATTCAAGCTCAAGCTGTCCAACACGACTCTACGGCACTCGCACAGCACCAAAATCCAACACAATCGAAGAGCATCAATGTGCCCTGCAACGTGTAATGTTCGTTCCTAGGCAACTCCAGAAGAAAGCTCTACGCCAACAGCCGAAGGAGCCTGCCCCTCTCGTCCCACCCGAGAAATCTACCAAGGATGATCACATCGACCCGACTTTGGCGAAGGAGATGGTGATGACCCTCGAGATATTATTTTCGGATTATGGAATCGAGAGTGGCCCCCCTGAATGGTTCTCCGCAAGGATGCGGTCCGTGGAAGGGGAGAGTGATTGTAAGAATGTGTTTACTCGATTGTTGATCACTTTCCGCTGACTGAACGAGCGTTAGTTATCCATCTGTCTGCGCTATTGGACTGTCCGCTGTTGGCTGAGATGAAGCCGAAGCCATCGCAAATGACCTTTCGAAAGGCCCTCACTCAATATCCCTCGGACTTTTTGCAAGTGGGTTTGATTCAAAAGCCACCCGTGTTGTCAATGCAGCTAACTTTAGCCACAGTTGAGCAAAGACAAATACTATATCCGGCGGCGGCATGAACACCTACCCTCTCCGAAATCTCCCGTGGGCCATCAGAAGGGCTCGGATGATTCTACAATTTACATTGTGGGTCTCCCCCCTCGCGGCCATTTGACTGCCGATGTATATGCTGATTTTACCCTCCCCCCTTCCCTGCCAAGGAGCCTCATGTTACAGGCATAACTCTAAACCCCGGAAGGGTAGCTAGGATGCTATCGCAATCAGCGATGCCGAGAAAATACCTGCCGGTGCAGTTTGTCGAGGCTGGTGATACTGCATGGGCATTTGTGATACTGTCCACCGCAGTATCGCACGAAGACGCAGGGAATCAGGAATTGTGGCCAAGGGACTGGATAGTCATGACCAAGTGAGTCCACAGCCATCAAATACCTCATGCAAAAAATAGCTAACTCGGATAAGGCATGAATGGAGAAGGAGAGACGAGGAATACCAACAGCTGCGGAGGAGGCGGCCAACCCTGTCCACGCGCACAAGGCTACCAGAACGCCACGACAGGGCGTCTGGTTCGTCGGCTCAACAGATGTGGCCTGATCGGCCGAGTGCCCCAACCGTCCCTGCAGATCCAGCCTCCGCCCGGGAAGACTATCAAAGAAACGAAGCCGCCGATTATGAATTCGGACTAATTGTCTATCTAACTAACCTGCACCCGCTGACAACCAAAGAAACCATTACCTCTTTTATCACCCGGCAGGCGGATCGATATAACCGAAAAAAGAGCTCATCCAAAGCCAAGGGAAACCTCGTTCCAAAAGACGAGGATGGGCCCCCGGTAAATATTAATTATGTCGATTACCAGAAGGGATTAACGACCGCATACCTGCGGCTGCGCAAAGTGCAGGACTCGGAGTTGGTGGTCTCCGCGCTGAAAAAGCGGAAACGCAGGATGCAGGATGGCAACGACAAGAAAGGGAAGAAGGTTACAGCCGATAGTGGCAAGAATGATTGGGTTCAGGCTACAAACGTGGGGGGGAACGAGGAGAGAATCTATTGGGAAAAGGTTCTCGCTGCCAAATGGGGAGGGGGAGGGAAAACCAAACGGAAACGGCCGTCACAGCCCGTCACCTTGGATGTCCGGCCATCCGGCGAGCGCGAACAGACTAATGGTGGAAAGCCCCCCAAGAAGATCAAATTTTCAGACTAAATTTTTATAATGAAACTATAATTCAATTACTCTGGAGAACACTGTTCTGGCTGTGTGTATAGCACAAAATAATTCACCCATCAGCCCAGCACCAACATGATGAAAACAGTTCCCTCTTCTCTTAAATAAAACCCCATCTCCGGTTTATCTGTTACCAGTAGCAGAGCCCATGGTGTCCTTCACGCCCTGGGTGGCAGAGCCGACAGTGTCAGCGGCCGACTGAGCCATGCCCCTGGACTGGTTTGCGGCATCATCGGAGCCCGAACGCAGGGTGTCGCTGGCCCCCTGGGCAGAGGACTTCTGCGAACTGCATGGAAACAGGTTGTCAGTGAAGGGTAGGCAGTTGATTCCATTGACCAAGACTTACCCAGGTTGAGCGGCACCCGCAGCTCTGTCGTAGGCACCCGAGGCGGTGTCTCCCAACCTCTGAGAGGTCGGCTTCTGGGATTCCGGGGTTACCTTGTCGGTAGCCTGGTCGGTGAAAGACTTTCTCCCTAAACTGATATCAGAAACTGGTGAAAGGTTTCAAGGGGCCATGGAGGGTACCGACCGAGATCAGACATGATTGATGATTGTTTTTGAGAAGTCAAAAAGAAGTTCAAAAGATTTGCGATTGTTCGGATGCTCGTGTGTGTGTTGATGATGATGATGGAGATGTCTGTCGACTGAGGGGAGCCTAAGGGCTCATCTTATAGATTTTCCCATTCCCAGAGAATCTTCGTTTCTCGGGAGCTCTCGTCCACTCGAGCACTGTACTCGAGTACAGCACCGTATAAAAACAATCGATGTCAGTATGCCGTCACGGCACCGAGGGGTGGTTGTCTTCGCCCTGATAATAGTCTACCAGAGTGATAGACAGAAGAAACGATGCTGAAAACAAGAATACGGTAGTGGCAGAAGTGACATATTTAGCCCGTCCCAGCCTCTCCCTCTCTCATTCTTGCGTAGAATCCGCCACTTCTACTCGTACAGTACGGTTCCACCGACAACCCGAACGAAGCAAGTGCAATCTCGCAGGTGCCCGCATCCCACCCTCACATGCTCGAAAGTCTCCAGGTCTAAGGGAGGGAGAGAGGAAGGAAGGCAAATGTTGTTGTTTTCTTCCCACTCCTTGGACCAGCGCTCCGATGTTTTCTGTGTGACGTCAAGCCCATTAGCCTTTTACCGGAAGCATTGAGTTGCCGGAGCGGTGCTGTACCCCACGACGATCGCCCACCTTATCCAGCGGCAGAGCCGCACCCGGAGACTCTAAGATCTGACGTCACTCATTGCTGCCACAGGGAGTTTTTTGGACGGCAGCATCGTACAGTAAATCGATGAAAAATTTCTTTTCCCTTCTCGCCAGATCTCTGTGCGGAAGGAGGGAATCTTGGCATTCCCATAATATCATTGTTGTGTCGTTATCGATAAGGACGACTTGTGGGGGCTTTACGAGTAGGTTTTTCGGGAATGCTCTCTCTCTCTCTCTCTTTTCCATTGCTTTTTCTTTTTCCCGTTTCGTTTCCTTTCCTTTGCCATGGCCATGACATGATTGATTAGTCGAGTGCCGCCTTCACGAACCGGTGCCGGTACGATATCATACTCGTACTTACTTACAATACCGGTAAATTAGCATCACGCAGAACCCATCACACCGCAGACCACCGTACTCTACGAGCACAGTATGTATCCATCTACCCACACAAACTCAACAAACCCAGTTCGGCACCGACAATCACCGACCACCACCACCGGCCCCGAACTCTCACTCTCACTCTCTCACTCACTCACTTACCCGAGCATTTTTCCTAGCAGACTACAAGTATCATAACATACCCTTATCATTATCATACTGTACACACACACATATACAAGTAGTATACAGTACCGTACCCGAGTAAAAAATAAAAAAAACCAACCGTAACATGCGACAAATAATCTCCAGCCTCGGAATTACCCGTATCATAGCGTACTCGAGTATCATAATTTAATAACCGTAAACCATAACAATACGGTACCGTACGGTACAAGTACCCGCACACACACACCCCACATCATCATCAGCAGCAGCAGAAGCCAAAAAAAGAAAGTGTGAAATTTAAAGTTACAGCACAGTAATAAACCCCCCCACCTTCCCCCCCCAAAAAAAACCAACGGTTTAGATATGATAAACGTCGATAGGCTAACTTATCTACGGTATCTACCACACATCCCCATCTGACTAATATAAAACCACCTTTCCCAATTCTACTAATTGCTTGTTTTTTTTTATGCACCTTTCTTTCGTTCTTTTCGAATGGGTTTTAAATTAAAAATATCACTATTATATGGTACTCGTACGAGAGACGCGCAGAAGATAGATAACTTAGGTACAGTAGAGTCCGGAACCCTTTTTCCTCGGGACCGATTTCATTCCCCTTTCCTTCCTTCCCTTCACTCGGCACCAGACGATTTACAATAATACCGTACCCAGCCAAGAAACCCCCGCCCCCTCAAACTCCCGAAAAAAAAACCCCCCCCAAATTTCCGTTTGGAAAGTGGTGGTGGTGGCGGTGGATGGACCGTGCTCGGTTAACTTTTTCTCTTTTTCTCTTTTCCTTTCTTTTTTCATTATGATATTCCTTTTTGGAGTTGTTTTGGATTTTTAGGTTCCTTGTACCCCTCTTTCTTCTTCTTTTTTTCTTTTGTTTTTTGTTTTGTTTGGTATGAGTGCCCTACCGTACTCCGGTAGGTAGTCTACCGTTTCGATACTAGTATGATATGACATTTCCATCATAATCGCGGAGTTCGGGCTTGGTATTGTATCGTAGACTATGAACTTGCCGAGGTTGTGGATTATTAATGATCTAGTCTACCATGCTCCAGGAAAAAAAGAAAGAGTTGATGAAACGCGCTTTTGTTGTTTTTTTACAGCTACTAAGGAATGAATGTTTTTTTCTTTATACCAGTCATACAGCTAGTATCATACTAACTACGATAACTGACTAGTTAGTACAAGTATTCATTCGTATGGTGCAGTTACAGCACTAGACCGGTCGACTTTTTTTTCAACGCTCATGTTCTGACGGACGGTGGTACAAATACAAATACGGTACAATACCGTATACCCGTACCGGGTACTCGACTGGCTATTATTATCACAGTTATTACCGCCATTATAGTGCGTGAGCAAAAAAACAAGGTCCGTTCTGTTCCGTCGCTGTAACGTTCGTGAGGACTTGTTTGTCCGTTCGTTTAGTTATTTATTTATTTATTTATTCGTCCGAGAAGGGTTGCCTTGGCATGGTTGGTCGCTTCGGATTACCGCATATTGCAAAAGTGTGATATCGATCAATCAATCGATGGATGGATGGATGCCTCTCTCTCTCTCTCTCTCTCTCACGGTGGTGGCGATGGTGGACAATGGACGAGAACGGGTCAAGTTGGATGATTCACGAATGTTTACCCGTATACTCGAGTATGCGATGAACTGGGGGAGGGAGCACACGTTACCCTACTATCATATTATAGTTTTGCTATCATACTCGTGCAGTACGGTACTCGTACTGTGGACCTGGACCCCTTCCCGACTGGACGGTGGATCGCACACACCTGCCCAATGGGTGTTGAGTGCTAGGCTAATACACAACTCTAAAGCGCATTTTCCGGGATTGCTCGTCCAGGTTATGAGTGCTAGCACTTTAAAAGTAGGCTCGAGTATTTTTTTTTTTTTCCTCCTCCTCCTCCTCCTCCTCCTTCTTGAGCCCTTACATGAGGGAAAAAAGGTCTGTGGAGAGCTCTTTTCTAGAGTCCAGGGCCTTTTTGGCTGGAGATACGTGGGGGGGCTTTCCAGGAACAGCACTACCGGTACGAGTACCAGACTGGGGACGAGTGATATCGAGTGATATATGCATATAATATAGCTTATGAGGGGGGTAGTTAATGTAGTACGGGGAAAGCCGAACTCTCTCGCTCTCAACAATTTTGTTGGAATCCAACTGCTTCTAACAAAAAGCAAATGGATAGACCACATGTAATATCAAATAGGGGTGGAAATACAGTAGTAAATATTTTGCATACATACGTATCCATATTTCACTTTTTCATTTATTTTTTACCCTTTCCACGCATCGCTTCATCGTCGTTCTTTTTTTCTTTTTCTTCTTCTTGCCTCCCCCCCCTCCCCCTTCTCACTCTCGCAATGTTCTGGGGAATTGGATGCTTTTCCAGCCTTTCTTTTTCTTTTCAAACCCCTAGTCCTTTCTCGTATAAGTTCTGATTAGCAATTCCTAAAACTAAAAACTAATTAGTGGGAGGTCCGTCTTCTTTTTTACTTGTAGAGTATTCCAGCCCCTGAAACGGAATGGTCTGGGAATCTCTAAGGAGGAGACTTTCTGGGGGAATCGAACCAAGCGCACGCTCGAATTTTGCCCTTGTCGATAATGCCGGTAAGCCACCCTTGACCGCCACGACTATGAGTGGGATAGGGAAGGCAAGGATTGCTTGGACGTATTTTGGCCACCCTTTCCTTTCCTTTTTTTTTTTTCTTTCCCTTCACCTTCCCAAACTGCACCTTCAACTGGATTCGCTTGGTCCTCGGTTGCATGAACATCTGTCAAAAAATTAGGGCAGAGGGTTTGAGACTACGTTCCTTTTCGTTTCGCCCGTCAATGTCCATCAGGGAAAGTAATCCCCGATAGGTGCGGGAATGCCTTGGACTTGAGAGAGAGGGGGGGGGGCTGGGAGAGCGAGGGGGATGAGGGAGTGATTGAAATTCTAAAATTCTGCAAATCTTTCCAGGTTTCGGGGAAAGGAAATAAAGGTCTTTCTTGGAGTGCGATCTTCGGTTCCCGCTGCACCGCGAGGGGATGTCGGCAAGTACTTTGGGGGTTCACGGTTTACGTCGGCAATTGTATTCCACAGTCTTACTCCGGTCTTGGAAAGTGGTTGCTGAGCAGAAAGGAGTCCCCTATCTCGACGGTTGCTTGCACAGGAAAGGCCATAGCAGGAGTAAGGATAAAATAGAAAGGACAAGGGGAAGTTGAACGAGGGCAGAAGGAGAAGGAGGAGGAGGAAGAGAGGAGGATTAAAAAAAAAAAAAAAAAGAGCGCGCCTTAACTTAGGCTAGATGCATGTAGTCCTCACCTCATTTATCGCTCCACCCCTCCAGTTTCTGCGAAAATTTGATCCCATTTTCTCCTCCGTACGATGAGGGAAAAGACTGGTTATTCTCTGCTCGATACACTCGGAAAGGCCCTTCGAATGGAGAATAGGAGAGGCGTGGGGTTTCCAATTGGTGGGATTTTTCTTCTGTCTCACTCTACTGTATATCCTAATCTGCTGTATCACCTGTGGAGAGAAATAAGGGGACCAAAACCATTCGGATCTCTCCGTGGCGGATTGTGAGAACGAGACGAGAAGTTGTGCAAGGAATGCAGTGAAAAACGCAGAACAAAGAATTCGGAATTGTTTGAAAACTTGAGGATGAAGTATGCTTGGGGAGGGTGGCATGTCCGGGAGTGAGATGGTCAACTCTTGACACATCAGCTGCGTTGAAACATGATAGACTAATATTGAGATGCCCCGGCCAATATTTTGACTACACTTTTTTGTCCCGACTCCCCCCACTGTTGAAACATTCATCAGCTGGCGCCATCGCTGCGGTAGTGCCGAAGTCATACAAACATCAATCGTTTCTTTCGGTAATATGTCTGCTGGGCATGGGCGAAAGGGAAGGAGCAGGCATCATTTTAAGCTCGACTCTGAGGCCTTTCTCCCTGAGTTACGGTAACGGACGGGGACCGCATCCTATCTGAGTAACCTTTCAGCATACCGGTATATATCCCCCACTGCCGCATGTTATCTCCGGCCCAAAATGATATCCGTCGAAGGGTATTTATATTCTGATAGCTGGGAAAATCTCCCGAAAGGGCTCACCAGGAGCCACCCACTGGCCACGAGGACAGTTCCTTTCGACGATGTGTTTGATCAATTGTCCCCGAGTAGCCAGTTGCGCATGCTCGGAAGGTGAGACTCGAGGCGGACGATGCGCGTTTTGAGAGAGGGAGAGAGAGAGGAGGAGGAGGAAGAGGGAGTTGAACTTGAATTCTGTTTGGAAACGTCTGTCTAAGATGGTGATCTACAGCAGTGGTGTTCCAGATTTTGAGGCTTTATTTTAGTTGGAGCCTTTTAAATATTTGTACAGTAACTGTATTAGCCTCGTTTTAGTATAGCGTCCGAATTGAACTGTCTGTAATCGTCGTTCGTTCAGCCTTTTTTTTTCTTTCTTTTTTTCCTTCTCCCTTCTCTTCAAATCCCCTCCCTCGAATACAGTAGCTAAGGCCAGGCGTCATACGAGAGAATTCGATAGTTCTTTTTTCGGTGAGGCGATAGCGTCGGATGTTCGTTGGTTCGCATGGTAGTGGAAAGGGGTTTTTATGGCAATTCGATTATTGGCCGAGGTCTCGATCTGCTTCTCCTATTTTACTTTTTGTTGATTTCTTTTCTTTTTTCTTCTCTCTCTTTTTTGATTTTTTCTCTCTCCGCCTCTCTCTTTTTTCCTATTATATCGTCTTTTCTTTTCTTTTCCTTCCCACTTTTTTTTTTCCTCCCTCCTCTTCCCCCTGTTGCTATTTTCTTTTTCCAACCTCGCTTCACCCCATCCCGCTAAGAAAAAGCAGGCCCTCTGATGAAGTTACAGTAGAAATTGTGAGACAGCATCCGCCACACCATTGACATGCTGAGGAACCCCGCCAACCGATTCATCGGAATTCGCTTTGGCATGTTTGAGAGGGAAAAACAATTCGAAGGTGGGTTGCAGAATGGTAGGCTGTGGTGGGCCTGGAAGGATAGCGTACAGTACGGTAGGCAGCACAAGAGTTAGATGCCCTGGCAGCCTCCATTGAGGGCTTCGCTTGTCGTTGGTGGTCAGGCAGTAGCCGAAAAGTCAGGAACAGAGAGATACCTGACGTGATAGGTGTCGCATGTATCATAGGCATACAAACATCGATGCTTCATGGTGAATTGGGTGAGGACATACAGCGGACATACATACCGTACATACATACACATACATGTACGGTACATGCGTTCATACCGGTACACACCCACCCACACACATACGTACATTTCATGACAATGTACGAGTACAGGTACTCGACCAGAACCAATACGGTACTCGAGCAGATAGACGGGGGGGACTAGGGACCAACCATGCGGGAACAGCGAGAGCCAAGCATCTCACACCAACTCGAAGGGACCAGACTGCCGGACCCATTACAGGTAGGCAGTCCTCATGATACCGGTACTCGAGTACGTAGATACCATCAACATGAACGATGGAGTGGGATGAGCGAGGGGGACACCTTCTTCCCCCTCCCCCCCCCTTCAACAACCATCATTACCACCCCCCTAATTTGCCCAGCCCTCAGAGCAAAATTGCCGTGAAACTGCCTGGCTGCACCCGCGGGGCACTATACCCATTCCCCGGTTCCCATTGGCTGCAATGAGCAGGTGTTCGCCATCCAGGCAGTGTTGCCCTCGCACAGCCGTCCCACTTACGGAATAGTTCCTGCAGCAAGAATATCGTTGGTCTTCGCGATGCCTCTCCGTTGGCCCTGGAGATGTTATGTATCGCTGTTTATTATTAACCTGACTTGATCGTTATTTATTTTTTATTGGATTGTGTGGGGGAATTGTGATTGAATTTATTAATTCACTCTATTAATCGACCTTCCATTTATTTATTTATTTATTTATTATCATTATCATTATCATTGTCATTATTGCCATTTTATGGTATTTTCCTTTTTCCCCTTTGCGCCATTATATTGAAACAAGCTGAATCAGGAGACGAAGCAGATTGTCCGTCCGCACGGAGGTCGCAGTCTCGAGAAAACAGTATTCTGCTACCGGCACGGTGTCGTTGATGCCGTGCAAGTGCCTGTATCTATCTGCAGGAAATGGGAGGGGCGTAGATGAGTATGTTGGTGTTGACTCGGTGAGAGGTGACGGGGAAAAGGGTGAGGAGAAGGAGGAATGGGGGGAAAGTGTGTTGTTTCCCTGGGCTCTAACTGAGGTGAGCAGAGGGGGAAGTTAAATATGTATCATACCGGTACTCGTGGTTGTAGCGTTACTCTCGATTGTTGTTATTAGATAATGAGCAGGTAATAACGAGCGGCTAAGATCGTAGGCGTTCAGTAGGGTAGACTACCGGGTTACCGAATGCCACTGGGTACAGTAGGGCTCAACGGACAATCGGTCAGATACCGGCACGCATGGCAGATGATCACGGATCTATCTAAAGACGGTGAAGTGAAGACAGCAAAGAAAGCAGGAGGGAAGAGAGAAGGAAAAAAGACCATAGGCCAAGTTTGCAATGGAGCTCAGGCACCGAAACAGAAACGTAACAGACACAGGAGCAAAGGCACCGAGCGTCAATTGATCACAATTGGTGGTGGAATGGGTTGCTCTGGATTTAGTGCACCAGTAGCTCAATCTGCACCATACTTTCAACGACTTGCGCCCTCTTTTTTTTTCCTCACCATCATGGGCGATATTCTTCATCTCGTCTAGGCTTCCCCACTCTAGATTTCCGAACAGGAGATTGACGCCTTTTCTTTCATGGTTGGTTGGGGGGGGGGATTCTCTCCTTGTCTTCTTCTTTTCCTTCCTTCTTT